TAACAAAAAATTATCATTGTTCAAGGATCTGGATGAGAAATGCACCTTTTGTCACACTGGTTCAGAGACTATCATACACTTATTTTATAATTGTCCTCTCTCATCTGGATTTTGGAAAGATATGGAAAATTTCATTATGATTAAATCCAAACACACTATCCAAATCAGATCTAAGGATGTTATTATCAAGTTTGAATGTAATGATAAAAGGTTAAGTTTTATAATTAATTTAATGCTTCTTTTAGGGAAATTTCATATACATAAAGCGAGGGTCTCCAAATCTCTCCCTAACTTTTGCGTTTTCTTAAATGACTTCCATTCATATGTTAACACCATAAAGTTAATTGTAAATAAGAAGGCAGAACTCACTTTAATAAGTCTTCAATGTTTATTTCTGATTGACCCTGCATAACAAAAACAATCAAAAAATGTACCTTTTGGAAGGTTGTATTATCTGTTATGTGCCTCTTGTCAATTAATGAGCTGATGTCTGTTCGTGTGTATATTTGATGTATGTTTGTTAGTGCGACTATGTATTTGTGACAAAAACAAATAAAGTTTGTTAAAAAAAAATTCCACAAAAGGGAAGAGAGGTGGAGCTGAGGGTAGGGCTGTAAGGCTGGGATCAACTGACGACACCCGGTCGAACTAGCTACAAGCTAACCTGAAGCTAACCCAAAGCTAACGCAGAGGTGGGAGCTAAGCTAACTGAGGTAGCAACCTAGCTACAACCGGAGTTAACTGTGCATAACACCAGAGCTTCTGAGCCAGAGATACGCCGGGCTGACTGCTGGGTAAAACCGGGTGGAACACAGAGGTCTCCCAAGACCTCCACAAGCCGGCAGCCGCACAGCAGACAAGCGCAGCTGCGATCTGAGATGCGCAGAGCTGCCGCTGGGGAGAACCGGGTGGAAAGGTTTCCATCCCAGAGCTCCACAAGCCGGCAGCCCGCGTAGCACACAGAAGCCGCGATCAGACAGAGATGCGCCGAGCTGCGGGGAGAGGAGAAACGGGTGGAAAACATCGGTCTCCCGAGAGCTCCACAAGCCGATAGTTGGAACCCAGCTCCACCAACATGTTATATTTCAACCCATTTTCTAAAGTGCATCATTATGTTAAATGCACTGGGTTTTACCCTATTACATTTACATTTCATGGTTTAACAGTACATGTTAAAATCTAAGCTCAGCTCGGCAGTGACCTAAAATACATGAATATAATTTTACTTACCGAAAAAAATGAGGTGGAGACTCCTTGGACGCTCTATTAGTGCAATTAATGCCACAGCAAGTCATTTTGTCCAACAATTGCACAAATAATATCCAAAAAAGAATACACACACACAGAGACTCAAAATCCCGGAACAGTTTCCAAGCCAGACCGAGGCTCTACTGAGGCCTTTCCATGGAGCTAGCTCTGTGGTCACGTGGGTCGGATGCTCATTAATTATACAGAATTAGGCTTTTAATACACTTAAACAGAAGAGTGAGAAAAAAATTCACCCCCCTCAGAGTTGTCATGAGTAAACTAGATCATTTAAACCAAAAATATGTTTTGGTACCAGGCTGTAAACATGTTTATTTCTGCTGTGAAATTGGTATTTTTAACATGGGAGTCAATGAGGATTTGCTCGCTTCTGACACCAGCCCCTAGTGGATGAGGGTGGAACTGCAATTTTTGGTACTTCCGGGTTTGATTCAATTTTGGAGCCACATTGTGGGGGCTTGGGGAGATCACAGAAACACTGCAGCTTTTTGTTGATGCTGCTTCACTTTTGAGACGCTCAACCGCAATTTTGTCCTTGAAAATGCTCGGGAAAACTGTTAGCTTTGGGCTAGTATGTAGCTAATGTTCCGCAGATCTCCGGCTCCCAGAGATGGGACCATCAACAACAGTGGACTCGCAAATCTCACCGTGGTGGACCAATGATGCCCGATATCCTTGGTCAGCTTACCTAGTTTTGATTTGTTACTAAGCAAGCCGGAAGTGCCTTCACATTGGAGTAGTTCTGTTGTGCTTATCTTGCTGAACACAGCTGGAAAAACTCCATTAGCTTTGGGTTAGCATGTAGCTAATGTCCTACCCATCTCTGACTGTAAAGCAAGAGCTGATGGGGGGGGGGGGGGGGGGGGGGGGGGGCTTGGGGAGAAATTATGACACGTCTCTAAATAAAGTAAAATTTTCTAGTGCAGAGAGGAGCCAACCCATAGAAGCACTGATTTGATCTCATTTCAGAGAAAATAGAACAGGTTATAGATGCACCTAATAAATAAAATTACTAACAAACTCAGGAATCTGTTGCTTCACTGTTCTGGTGCTGAAAATATCACTAATGCAGATCAAAGGAGATCCACAGATGAATGCACCTCTTATTTATTATTTGGAGACTACATTTACTGCAGCTGGCAGAGACAGAGATTTTTTCTATTGATACACAGAGTTTACAGAATCATTTTAAATGTTAATGGGGGAAGACTGCAGGAGGGAGCAGTAAAATACAGGGGGTCCCCAGCAAAAACCAGAAACTTTACGAGGCTGATGAAACCTGCTGGTTTTCCATCAGGCAGTCACGGGGCAGCTCCAACAACCCAGTGGCTGTGCTGGGTCAATGTTATCGAGCTCAGTCCGGCTCGGCCGTGAACGAGCCGAGGCGACGTCGTGCTCTGCTTAAGAAGAAGTGTTATTTTCCCGCTTCAGAAGAAGCGTCCAACGTGTTTTTACACTTTCTCCGAGACATGTCACGACTCACGTCGCTAAGTTGTTAGCGCGCGGCGCTAACACATCAATAGTGCAGCGTAGCCTGCTGGAGGTTTTAAGGGTTCAGATGAAAACACCCAACCTCTCAGGCTGCTCACACATCGATCTTAAGTTGTCGTTGTTGCGCTCACGCCGTAATACAGTATTAGATGCGTTTAAAGTCAGACATGAAAAAATAAATTTTACATGAATAAGTGATGCTTAGCCTGGTGGGGGGAGGAGAACCTGGCCTAGTAAGCACTGGGGGAAAACCTGTCTAGATCGTCAACACTCGTTTATCTTAACGCTATTGAAACATGTAAACCAAAGGGCATTATATCCACTGCTACCTTTCTAATTTTAATCTCAGTAACTTATGCTGTAACTGCACCTTGCCCTGCCTGCTCCTCCTTGCTGCCGCCGGCTGTGATCACAAGCAACAACATAGTAGTCCCGCTGCTTCTTCGGGAAACAGCCCAAAAAAAAAGAAAAAAAAAACTTGGGATCTTGTAGGCGTGGCGGTGGGATTTCAGCCGTGGCGGGCCGCCACGGCTACGCCTATGTAAGGGAAACCCTGGTTTTATTACCTGTTGCGCACACGTATGGGAATTTTGTATTGCGAGCAGGTGAGGGGGAGTCAAACTTTGCTGACTCCTCAAAGCTCAAACCTTGAATCTGTTTTATTTTGCATAGATTATTAGTGTTTGTGGCGGTCAGAGGGACCGACGGCGCCAAATGGCAGCCTCGCCTCTGTCAGACCGCCCCAGGGCGGCTGTGGCTACGCAGTAGCTTATCATCACTGGCAGTGTGTGAATGTGAGAGTGCATGAAAGCGTCTCTGAGTGTCCCAGAAAGTACTGTATAAGCTTGATGTATACAGTACTATTATTATTTATTATCCCAGCTTTGTGGATCTCATCGTTTTCCTGTTGTGTGATGCTTGTGAAAGCTGATTAATGTGTTCTGAAGGAAACATTTTTGACAACCAATAAAGTCGCTTGAATTGAAACCTGGACTGGAATGGCTCTGAGGACGCATTCCCCTAATTAGCTGCTCAGCGGCCCAATGGTTAGACTCGCCAACAGGCTGCATCTTACAATCGGTAAGTGTGTGTGTTTAAATTAATTCATACGTATTTAATGTGATGTGAAAATAATTGTGTGAAATAGTGTAAAGTTTTTTTATCGTGCATTTCTTTGGAGTTTCTATAAATTGTTTGTTAACATGTTAAACTCAATATGAAGTGATGAACAATGGCTAATGTGCTTTTGATAGTTTATTTCTCTACCCGTTTGTTTTCTTGGATGTTTTTTGCTCCTGCCTTTAATGCTCTTATGTTTATGTTTTTTTTTTCTTTTTGGTCATAAAATGATGTTAAAGATGATTCAAGAGTCAAGCGCGCAACAGGACTTTACAAATAAATAGTGGGCGTCTTCTCTCATAGCTGGAAAAAGAAGACAACACTGAACAATAGCGTAGGAAGAATTAAATTTACCGGAACACTCAGCTAAGGTGGCAGCCCAGGGAGGGCTGCCACCTTACTGTGGTGGAGGGGTTTGAGTGTCCCATTGATCCTAGGAGCTAACTTGTCTGAGGCTTTCTGCCTCTGGTAGGGTCATCCATGGCAAACAGGTCCTAGGTGAGGGATCAGACAAAGAGCAGCCCATAGACTTCTTATGATGAATTAAATAAATGGAAACGGTGTTCCCTCGCCCGGACGTGGGTCACCGGGGCCCCCCTCTGGAGCCAGGCCTGGAGGTGGGGTACGTTGGCGAGCGCCTGGTGGCCGGGCTTTCACCCATGGAGCCCGGCCGGGCACAGCCCGAAGAAGAAACGTGGGTCCCCCTTCCCATGGGCTCACCACTCGTGGGATACTAGTGCGTAGTCTGCACTTTCGTATGCTTTTTAACCCTAATGGGCATCTGCTGAGATCTTGCTCCAACACAAATATACTGCTTGCTTTCATCAATTTAGGTATCTACTGCCTCCTATCACCAGGAGAAATACACACTGTCCCATTAAGGATCTCGTGGCCATGAGGGACTCTTCTCCCCCCTCCGTACTACAGCGTCTGATATGACAGTGTGCAGAAAATCTGAGTCACAAAATCCATGTTGGTGTCCCAGAAATCGACAGGTTCATGATGAAATCCAAATATTAGATGAGGTGCTGCGGTTGTGTTGGTTCAAGCTAAACCTTTTTAAAGCACATTACGGAGATGCTCAGAGGACGCACAGTGTCTGGATGCACGGAGACTTTTATTGTGAAAGGTCAAAGGAAAGCAGGAAGAGACGTGTTTGGAGCGCGCTCTGCTAGTGTCTCGGGAGCGCGCCCGTGTGACAGCACAGAACTGTCCACGTCAACACAGCAAGGCGTCAGCATCAGCGATGGAAACTACGTCCCCGGTGAGTCCCCGGTGCACCGTCTCACCGAACACGGAACCGACATCTCCGTGAGTCGGACCGGGTCCGGGGTCTCGGTACGTCTCCGCAGCGCGCCGGGCAGTTGTTGCGTTCTTGAATCGGTGGTGAACGGTACCGAAGAGAAGCTGGGTCCGGCGGGGGGAGGCTTCGCGGCATAAACCGGTTTAATTCTTCTTGAGCGACACGGTTCTGATTCCGGTCGTGACGGTGTCCGGTGGCAGTTGCGCGCAGGCCGGTTCGCCTTTTGTTCTGATGTCGGTGTAAACAGATTCCTGGGGTGACCAGTGTGACAACTTCTCCAGGTGTTCGGACCAGCTGATTCCACAGCTGTTGGCCCTGAGCCGCGCGCACCGGGACCCGGCCACGGTTCGGTTGGACCGGTTCCGGCTGCGAGCAGGACGGAGACACCGTTTCATTCAACAAGTGCGTCTCCAGCTGCTGTGAGCCGGGGTCGGAGTTGCCTCTAGTCACGTGTGAAGGTGCCACGTCTACCGTTCCGACCGCCTCGCGTACCGTATCCTACCGAACTCACCCCCCCAGACATTCACTCGTTCACAGATGGAATTCATTCTTTTATCAAAGCTTGACAGAAGGTAGCCATGCGACTGAAATGACCTCACGGAGGTTGAGCTTGGTGTGCTCCTAAACCAAAGTATCCTGTCCTCTCACCTGGTGGCAGAGGCAGCAGATCCCTCTCTAGCCACCGTCCTTACGCACACATCTGTGCGTATTTGGTGCGTAGGCACGAATTTACGGATTGTGTGGTATTTACCAATTTGTACTTGAGCGAACATGTTCCTAAACATAGACTTGTGTGTGTGTGTGTGTGTGTGGTGTGTGTGTGTGTGTGTGTGTGTGTGTGTGTGTGTGTGTGTGTGTGTGTGTGTGTGTGTGTGTGTGTGTGTGTGTGTGTGTGTGGCCCAGGGGCGTAGCACCAAATTCTGGGCCCTAGGTACAAGTCTTCTAGGTGGGCCCCCATGCTCAATTACTTAATATCTCTCTTACACATTTTTTGTCATAAGACAAGATAATAAATATGATCTTAGTTTAACCTCTATATTGAGCAAATACAAATGCCAGCATAATAAAAGTGAAATGCCCAGACTTCACATATAATTATTTTTATTTGCCAACAATGTGTTCAAACAAAAATCCTGGAATTTATTTTCCAGTAAATACCCACTGATGGGTCTTCATGTTAGCAAAATCACTTATGAGTTCTTTAAAGTCCAATCCTTTGGCTAATTGGCTTTCAATAGAAAGAAGAGCTAGGCTGTTCAGTCTATCCTGGGACATTGTTGAGCTCAAATAATTTTTCACCAGTTTCAGTTTGCTAAAAGCCCGTTCACCCCCAGCAACAGTCACAGGTAGTGTGCAAAAAATCCTCAGTCCAATACAAACTTCTCCAAAAATGCTCTGTAATTGCATCCTGTAGATGGCAGCTCAAGAGGAGACCGAATGTGTGGAAATGTGGCACCATATATTGTTCTTAGGTGTAGCATCTCATTCTCAAATTCAGCTGTGAGATCCTTGTAATATTTTCTCATCAGTGCCTGGCATGATATCTTCATCTGCTCTTCAGTCATGTCTGTCATGGTTCATGATGTTAAGCTTTGCTAATACTGATATATATTGATATATTAAATACATATGACATGAAATAAACCAGGTTCTCTCTGTGAATGTAATGTACTCTAAATTTTATAATCCCTGCATTATCAGCCAAATCATAAGATTGTCCGTTTTCAAGATCAAATATAAAGAAATTTAAAATAGGCTTAAAATATCTAACCAAGTCAATAACAATCCTCTAACACCAGTGTCATCATGCTATACGAAAAACAGTGGCAGCTTGGCGTTCCTGAGATTACCACAAATCCATCGATACCAAGTTTGTCCTGGTCCATGACTGGGAAGGAGCTGCAATATCCACACAGAGTGAACCTGTTTTTACTGCGAGGTCCGCAAATTCATTGGTGGCGGCCGCCCGCGATAATAATTCAGATTAATATATATATATATATATATATTAATTAGTGTTTTCACTGATAACACTAATTAATTTATATTTGATCTTGATGGTGAAACTAAAGGCGTTTAACACTGAACACCTAACATGAATGCAGCTTCTGAGAGCTAGCTAATATCAGCTAAAACCGTGTTCTGCTGCTGCTGCTCACCTTCCTTCTACTTGCTTCTGTTCAATTAACTTTTCCTCCTTCCCCTTCTTTTCTTTTCTGGAAGCCAGATTTCCCTTTCTTGGGAAAAGACATGACTGACTCTCCTGCCTCCAGCTCTGGCTGTCGGCATCTGCGATGTCTCATTAGCTGTACATGCGGCCGTGCAGCCCCTGGCCGCAGGTGTGGACTAAACCACTTTGCACATTTTTAAGGGGTGATAGATGCCTCAGAGATTATTCAGTTATTATTTTTAAGGCGAAATTCTGTTTTTTAACCTCTTTATCCAGGTAAGGGAAGTTTATTAAGACATTAAGTAAGTTGGGGGGAAAAAACAACAACAATAAAACATTTTTATTCAAAGCTGTCGCAGGGCCCCTCCCTGCAGTGGGCCCTGGGTAAACGGTACCCTCCCCCCCCCCCCCCCCCCCCCCCCCAGTCCGACGCCCCTGGTGTGGCCGTGCGTGGGAACACCATCTAGTGGTAGAACGGTGGAACAGCAGCGTTATCCACGCGTGTTCTTCAGTTATATTTACCCATTATGTAGTAATGTCTGTGGAAAAACGGCTTTTGCGCGTCATTGGTGCTGAAACCAATAAAGCACACCTGTGACTGAAAGGAATCTGACGTTACATCATGACTAATCTGTTATTTGAAGGTGGAGCGTGCTCGCTGGAGGGAACACGTTCAATCCTTCTGCTGTGCTCTGATTTGGGACCCTTTGTGGTGTGACAGACAAATCTCACGAATCCGATCCCAGTTCATATTTTATTTTACAACTACGAGAACCCCCCAGAACCTCCTCCTGTCATACATGCTGTGTTGCCAAGGTAACCAGAGTGAACGACAGCTCAGAAGAGGCTGCACACTCAGACATTTCCAAATGGAACTAACTCCAAACAGAACGACTCCTTAAATGAGAACGAGAACCTGTTACTCTACGATTTATGAAATTCCTTTATTTAGTCCTGACCGGAACCTCTACTCTGTCTCGACCGTGTTCATAACTTCTGCAACCTCGATCTCGCTGTCAATAAAGTTTTCTTATTCTTTCTGGAAAAACGAAAACAGGGAATTATCGCGTGACCCAATATGGCTAAGTGAGGGCGTTCCTGAATGTAAATGATGGTGAACAGACATGTGCACCTGGGTACGCACAGGTGGGATTTGTCATCAGACGGTTGCGAAGGAACGTGCGTACGAGAGGCCGCCACACGTTTCAAAATCAGGAGTACACGCATCCTAAATTAAATTTGTAGGAAGGAATATAGGAATGTTTGTACAAATGTTTTGATAAATGAGGCCCCAGGTGTTCTCAGCCGGCCCACACACCTCAGGTCAGCTGTCCTTCTATCGGGCCTCAAGGGCCTCCCTCCTCTCCCCCTGTCCCCCATTCTCATTTCTTCAGCTTGGAGAGGTTTGCACTTTCATTCTTGGCTTTAGAAACCCAGCGAGTTTTGAAATGATGGCCCCACGGACGCGATTTGTCTTAAGAAGGCGTTTTATTAGACTAATGAAAACCTGACTACAGATGCAGTCCCACTCCACCAGAAAATCTGTTTAAAATGCGTTCAGATTCACAGGTAAAGTTTACCTGGAGGGTTTCGGTGACCTGCGTTCCCAAACAAGTGGAGGCCATCTTAAACAGGTGTCCATTAAGTTCTCACGTTCATAAAACTCCTATGAATATAATGTAAATGACTGCTTTTTAGTGCAGCCTGCTAGCTAAGTCTTCAACAGTCAGCTGCTTGAGTTCAGCTCTGCTTTGAGCTGCAGCTTGGCGGGGAGCTGCTGGCTGCACACACCCTAAGCAAAATACTTCACATTGGTTTCAAACAACAGGTGCCTTTCAGACTGTGGTGGTGGACAATCAGCACGGTCCTTGTTGATCCCGAGCTGAGCCTTCCAGCTATGTGGGAAGGAGGTATCCACATTCAGCCACATGTATCCAATTCCTAGCAGAGCATTAAGGCTGGCTGCACAGCCAGAGCTGGTTGTCCTGGTGCAGTTACATCTGCAGACCGCAAATACATCTGCTTCTCAAAGGATGAAGATGCTTACCTAAACAAGAGCCATTTTATTCAGGTGATGCATAGGAAGTCTCCTCCCCTTCCGGTCGGCTTGGTCCCGGAAGAATGAAAAAATGAATGCAAGTCAACGGGACTAAAAGATCTTAGGTGTGTTCTTGCTGTGTCTTTCTAAATCCATGCTTTCGTTCTTTTTTTAAACACAGAAACAGGTTTGTTTACCTGTTTGTAGCTACAGTTTCGCCGACGGCTGCCGGCTTCTTCTGATCAGCGTCAGCCTGAAGAAGCCGGCAGCCGTCGGCGAAACTGTAGCTACAAACAGGTAAACAAAACTGTTTCTGTGTTTAAAAAAGAACGAAAGCATGGGACTAAAAGAGCTATTTTCTAACCCGCTCTGCCTTACGCCCTGGACCTCACTTGTGTTGAACTGCAGTTTAAATGAAAGCTAATGATGGTGTTTTGGCTGCGACTTTCATCTACTTGAGATTTATCAGCCTGTAAAAGTTCGTAATTAGCATGACTACAAATCAATCATCAGCACGTCTCGCATGTGATGTCACCACAGAACCTCCTCTCTAGCGTAGCTGCTACTCACCACATGACCAGACTTATGGTGGTTCTCTCCTCCTGAAGGAAGGATTTTAAGTTTGCTGAACTTACAGCCATTTTCCCTGTTTTTCTCCGTGTCTGGTTCGATGACGTCACTGTCGTGAAGCGCATTTGTAGTCCTGGACTTATTTTCACACAAAACCTAAAATAACTTTTCCCCATTTGAAAATAAGTGCTTTCTTGGTATCAAAATGTGTCGTTAACCCATTCACTGCCAGCCGTTTCCTGATCGCTAACGGCCTTCGCTGCCAGCGTTTCTCACCGTTTTTACTGTTTTTGTAAGAGTCACAGAACGTTGCGCGCTAGCATGATGTTGATGCCAAAACAACCAAAACAAAGAGGAGACTCATCTCTTACATCAGGAAGAAGCCGCGTGTTTCGAGCGTTATCCGTTCTTTCATAATCCGTTGTTGAATTGTGATCGGCAGACGCTTTTCCAGTTCACTTTTTTTTACAGGAACGGCCCAAAACGATCTCCAAACACATGGATGTGTTGCTTCCTGATCATGTGATCTGTGACGTATGTGGATGAAGATCGGCTTCAGGGCTGAGATGTTTGTTCTCTCAGCGCGGGGGCTCGTTCCGATGCTCAAACAGTAAAAAAATTGCAAATGACGACTTTAGTCGTCATTGGCAGTGAATGAGTTAAATTTCACGTACATCATTCGTGAAATCCACGGTACAAAACAAGCAGAATCAGAAAATAGCATTTTTAGCCTCGTTGACCCATGGTCCGGAAGTAGATGGGTGTGGCTTAGGCTCCCTATAAACTTTACACCATGCACAAGTTAGTGTTGGTATGAGGTGTTCTGCAAGGCAAAGTTCATGACTTCTAGGGAACCGCTGGTTGGGAACAGAAGCAGCTGTGATGTTGGTCTGAAACTACGTGACAGACAGTCAAAACTCACGTGATATTTATTAAACTGAAGTACAACATGTGTGATTCAGGGTGTAAGGCAAAGCGGACCAGCCTCATTTATAGCATCGCTCGGGGACCCACGAGCCGACCGGAAGGGGGAGGAGCTTAAGGGTCCAAACCAAACTTGTACATACTGCCTCTGCCTCATCACCAAGGCAGCACACGCTCCTTTATGCTTTGCACTGGTAACGGAACACTCTGTTTACCTCATCTGTGTGTACACATTAGATGTTTGATCGTGCAGAGAGGAGAACCCACCTGCATACTAGTGTGGTTTTCTTGATCTGAGGGTGTGATGCGTTTGAGTTAAGGTCGGGGTGAGTCTTCGTACCTGAGATCTCAGGTTACAGGGTATCTGCAGGTCCTTAAAAAGTCTTAAATTTGCTTTTCCAAATTTAAGGCCTTAAAAATCCTTAAAAATGACAAATAATCCTTAAATACAGTTTCCAAATGTCTTAAATTACCAAAGACCCAATAAACAAGATTCTTTTATTTCTATAAAATTTTCGTGAATTTCTAGTTAATGTTCAGCATTTTTTTGTGTATGATATTGGCGTAAGCGGAACCGTACACATTCAGTTGGTTGTGAAAGGCGGCTATTTTTAGATGAGCACGCTCGTGGGAGTTTGCGCCATGGGGAAGTGCAACATTAATGGTAACTGGATGGCTAATCCCACGTTCGCGACATGGTTAGCACCGGTTCCAGGCAATAGCTGGAAATTATAGCTCAAATTTAATATAAAAAAATAGCTTAAATTTGGTCCAAGTGGCCTTAAAAAAGGTCTTAAAAAGTCTTAAATTTGGCTCCCTTAAACCTGCAGATACCCTGAGGTTAGGGTTAGTGGAACTTGGTGCATTTCTACTGTTGCTAAGATGTTGACCCGTGTCTCTGAATTGAAAGTAAATCTACACTTAAAGGATTCATAAGTAATTGTTCTTGTTCATGTTGTTGTGGGTCACAATCAGCAGTTACTGGTTGAACTGGTGTGGCTTTAACTCATTTCCATGATGGTACCGATGGGACACGTCATGGCTTGAGGGGAGGAACCGATCGCTTCAGCTACTTAAGGATGTTCTAGGTTTTTGGTCTAAGTTCTGTGATACACTTTGACTGTGAATCTTTGCTAGTCAGTGCATAACAGAACTTTGTCCCAGATCTGAAACCTCGTCAGTGGGATGACGTGCATGGACACGAGAACGAGTAGAAGGGCTGTGTGCAGCACTAACAGTTTCTCACATGTGGAAAGCCTCCCAGCTCTCTGCTGGGACAGCCAGGGGGTCTCTGCTGCTTATCGATGTTTATTGTTTAGAAGTGGAAGAACAAAACTGAGTTGTTATTTGTGTTTATGTTGGCAGGAACCTTCCCTTTACACTGTTAAAGCCATTTTCATACTTGATAATGACGGCAACAGACTTGTGTCAAAGGTAAGTTTTAATTTTGACTTTGCTCCTGCCACTTCCTGCTGCAGTCGCTCCGAAAACTGCACATGATGACAAAGTTACAAGTCTGACTTCCCTGTTATATAGCTGCATGTTAATTATTGTGCACTCCTTAAAGATGCTGAAAACAAATGAGCTTAAACATGGTTTTAACAACACCAACATAGTATAGCTGTAGAAATGTTGTGGAGATGAAATAAAAAAGGATGCTGGTGCAGCATTCTGGGCCAGGTGCCACAGAAAAGGGGCCTCCCGCGGACCCATATACAGTAGCAGCATTTCTACCCCACCAGTGCTAATGTGAGGGCCGGTCCTGGGGGGTGGGGGTGCTGGTGGACCAGGGACCACAGAGAAGGGCCTCGTGGGCCGCCTATTGTGTTCCACTGAATTAGAGTATGGGTCAAAAGATGTTTCAGCCTTTCTTAGTTATAACTGTGATGATCATGCTTTACAGCTGATGACAACCCCACATTCACAATCTCAGACAGTCAGAATGTTGGTTCCGTACTCTAGACTCAAAGTGTCACACTCTGATCAGCTGACGAGTCCAGAGCAGCTGCAGAGGGCTCCTGAGCCTTTAGATGGTCTCTCAGCCTGAGCTGGATTAATGGCTGAAATGGACTTTAGCACCAGATTGTAGTTTTTGCCGTTTCACCTGTAATACGGATTGTATGGAGCGTTGTTTTAAATTTAGTTCTCTCTCTTTCTGCGATTCCTGTCTCAGTACTACGACCCCGAGCTCCACACCTCCATGAAGGAGCAGAAGATCTTTGAGAGCAACATTTTCAGCAAAACCCACAAAGCAGACAGTAAGTCAGAGAGTGTGCGTGTGTGTGTGTGTGTGTGTGTGCATGCGTGTGTGAGTGAGTGAGTGAGAGAGAGATGTACGAGTGACCTGAAGCAACTTCTACCTTAGGTTGGAAGCAAGCGTTGCCATAGCGACGGCTGGCTGACCTGACTCTTGAAACTGCAGAGACGTAGAAAGAGTTCTGCACGTTTTTCTGAGATCCACCCAGCTGATGCCTGGGGTCTCGTATCAAACGTTTGTAGAACCTGTCCTATATTCCCTCCTACGGCTAAAATGTAGAATGTGTGCGAACAGTCAAAAGACTGATTTATGAAACGTGCGGTGATCTCTCGTTCGCATCGTCCCAGGAGCTCGTGTCCGTTCACCATTATTTACATACAGAAACACCCTCAATGAATCGTATTTGGTCATGCACCGTCCTCAGCACGTGAGGGGATTCCCTGTCTCCCCCCCCCCCCCCCCCCCCCCCCCCAAAAAAAAAGAAAACTTTATTGACAGCAAGATGGAGACGCTGGCTGCCGAAGCACAAAAGAACCCAACAAGTTGCAGAAGTTATAAACGCGGTCGGGACAGAGGAGTGGTTCCTGTCAGGAATAACTAAAACTGAATGTGATAAATGGTGGAGTAACAGGCTGTTGCAGTCCTTCTGTGTGGAGTTAGTTTTATTTGGAAATGTTGTCTGAGAGCGCAGCCTCAGCCTCTTCTGAGCTGTCCTTCACTCTGGTTGGTATGACCAGAGGAGCAGAGGAGGTTCTGGGGTTCTCGTAGCTGTAAAGTAAAATATGAACTGGGCGCTCACGGAGAACTTGTTCCCTCCAGAGAGCACGTCCTGGTAAACCCTCCAGTAACACAGATCAGCCATGATATCATGTCAGATTCCCGTCGGTCACACGTGTCGTATTGGTTTTAGCACCAATCATGTAAAAATGCATTCTGGATAAAAGCATTAGTGGATGTGAAACACATCTGGATGACTGACATTCGGTGTTGCACTTCCTCGTTCTGCCACTAGATGCTATGGTTATGCACTGTCAGAGATGCTCTTACGCACAAGTACAAAATGATGAATACCACACAATGTGTAGAATTGTTCCTACGCAGGAAATGCGCACAGATCTGTGTGTAAGTGCTTTTGATAAACGAGGCCCCTGGTCTGATCCAGCCTTCCTTGTCCTCTGCTCAGTGTCCTTTCTTTTGTCTAGACGACTCCTCCATATCTACTTCCTACGGTAGTTTTTTATTCCACCTGTTATTCAAAATGTCTCCCTTCTTTTTCTCCTCTCACCTGATCCACCCATCCTTACACCTCTATGCTGTGTGTTTCCATGCTTCTCTCCTGTTTCAGACATATTTGTTCTCCCTGAGATTTTCTCTTCCTCCTTCATATATTTATTTCCATTCATCAGGTCTTTCATTTTTGTTGTAGCAAACCATGTAAATGTCAGCTTTTGTCTAGAGAAGGAAACACCGTAAAACTAATCAGTGTTTTATTTTCTGCAGATGAGATTGCGTTCCTGGAGGGAATGACCGTCGTGTATAAGAGCAGCATAGACCTGCTCTTCTACGTGGTGGGAAGTGCTCAGGAGAACGAGGTAGAGACCACTCGGCTCCTTCTGGGGTTTGGGCTGAGGCTTTAGCCTTTTAACCTCCACCTTTTTACTCGTTTATTCACGTGGACCAGTGAGGTTAGGATATAGTTTAAACTAATGAGAATATAAAAGTAATAAAATTATGGTTTTGATAATCAAACGTGATAATTAACGTTTAATAAATTTAAAAACTGCTACCTGGGTTCATATATATTCACCTTATGAGTTACCTTTGAACTGCAGTTCGAAAAGATCTACCGACCGCTAAAACAGCGGAGTGCTCGCCGGCCACATCAGTTAGGTGCATCACCGAGGACAAAGCAGGTGATGCGCCCCGATCCACAGCAGCGAAACGCATCAGGCGCAAATAAAAGAATAAAAGACAGAAAACATAAAAGGAAATGAGCTGACATGAACGATCACGTGTTGAATTAGTTTTTGAGGTGGCGACACCTAATTTGATAATGTTACTGTGGCCGTGCTCAGGAAGCAGATGTCTAGAGCGCAAGCTGGTTAAGGTTAGGATGGGGGGTGAGGGGACGGTTAAATTGCAAGAGGGTAAAGGTCACACATTGGTTAAATGTCCGTTTTACGGCGCGTGTCAGTACCGACGCACTGGCACAGCGCGTTGCCTCCTGACGCGCAGGAGCTTGTCACCTGCTGACAGCAGGCTGCTGTCTTTTCCGAGGACTGCATCTTGCCGGTCATTATCACATGACAGCGACTAGTCGATGACAGGCATAAAAAGTCACTATAGAGCGGTGAAGTCGACTAGTGACTAGTTCATACAACTCCTGCTACTGCTCCCCAGAGTGTTCTGCAGCATAATCAGCACGTTCTCTTTGAACTTGATATAAAATTTTCGCCTCCTCTTCGTCTCCGCACGGTTAAAGTTACCCTCGCGGTCTATCACTGGCAAATCAAAAGTGAGACGGATGACACAACCGCGCCCCGTACTTGCTTGTTACCACATTCCACCCGGCCACAATAAAAAAAATGGCCATTATTCACCTGTGTGTGAATCAGCTTCTGCGCTTGAGAATCGGGACACCCTATGCACTGAGTATTGGGATTGGACCATTCTTGTGAACAGCATTTTTGACACCTGTCTAAAACTTTTGCACAAATAAATTAGACAAAGGGCTACTAGCCTGAGTCGGCCATGCTACATGCTGCTAATGTTTTATACGTGTCCTGTTTCTCTTCTTTAGCTGATGCTGATGTCGGTCCTGAACTGTCTGTTTGATTCTCTCAGTCACATCCTCAGGTACGTCCTCCTGACCTGAGTGTGTGTGTGTGTGTGTGTGTGTGTGTGTGTGTGTGTGTGTGTGTGTGTGTGTGTGTGTGTGTGTGTGTGTGTGTGTGTGTGTGTGTGTGTGTGTGTAAAGCATTCAAGCTATTGTTTTCCTGTTTCTCTTTATAGTTTATTATTCTGCTTCCGTACATTTTTGGCATTTAGCTACTTCCACAATTCTTCAACTATTTACACAAGTTTGGTATCAAAACGTTCAGCTCATTCAGCTTATGTCGGCAATGACTTTTGGTATGAAAATGTTATATACTTTTTGAGATATTCAGCTTTTTCTGCGATTTTTGGTCCCATTGAAATGAATGGGATTGCTCAATTTTCAGCTAAATCCTATCACTTTTTTGAACGCTTACTCTTTTAGGTTAACTTTAACCTAGAGACTTCATTCAAGTTTCAACAACCTCACAAGACTTTCAGCTATTACTGGTTAAAAAATATTTTTGAAACCTACTACCGTTTTTCTAAAATCACAGGTAGAAGTTGAGAAGCCCGCAGCTGGGCTATTTGTTATTGTCAGAAAACTCAATCAAACGGGAAATATGGTAGATTCCTGTTGTGCCCCAGGATGCAGAATAGACGCGGACAACATAAGGAATGAGCCATCTACAGGATTCCCCAAGATCCGGAGCGCCGCAAACGTTGAATCATTGTAATAAAACGCGCTAGTGACCGGGCTAAAATGAAACTGGGGGACCCTGAGAGTAAAGGTTTTCACTTATGCAGCGACCACTTCATATCAGGTACTCAACTATGTATGGTATTTATTTTAAATGCTTTTATTACGATTCTTAGTGGGCTTCCTAAACTTATTTTGGCGTGGCTTTTTCTGTCTTATTACTCATAGCAACAAGTAAACATCACGTAAAACGTTGCCTCGTGATTTCTGCGTGCTGCCGTTTACGTGTTTTATGATCACAGCAATTAACCGGCTAAGCTGTAATTAATTTTTAAGCAGTGGTTGATCAATTGTCAGATCACTCATAAAAAGCACTTTGGATTGCTATTATCTGTCTCACCGAGACGGATCTCAGACAGATCCTGAGACGCTCCTGCTCGACATATTTATTTTATTCACGGAAAAAAATCAAACTAGTGATTTCTCTTGGCGTTCAGTTTATACATTCAAACAGAACAGCCCTCTATTTAAACTACTTATATGTAAATCTATGTTATTTGTCCATCCATCCATTTTCATCCGCTTATCTGGAGTCGGGTTGCGGTGGCAATAGCCTCAGTCGAGAGGCCCAGACTTCCCTCTCCCCAGCCACTTGGGCCAGTTCCTCCAGGGAAATCCCAAGGGGTTCCCTGGCCATGTCCGCTCTGACAGCTTCTGGGGTTTTTAAAAAGTATCCCAGGGGCACAATAAGGGTCGGAGATGTTTAATCTATAGTCACTGCTATGCAGACGACACCCAGGTCTATCTGTCATTTCCACCGGACGACCACACTGTTTCTGCACGAATATCAAACTGTCTCTCTGACATATCAAAATGGATGAAATCCCACCATCTCCAACTCAACCTCTCTAAAACTGAACTACTTGTCATCCCAGCAAAACTGTCCATACAGCACAATATCTCAATCCGAAATGACTTCCTGTCTCTGGCTCCTTCAAAGGCAGTTCAAAATCTGGGTGTTGTGATTGATGAACACCTGACCTTTAAAGATCATGTTGCCTCTGTTGCTCGTTCATGCCGCTTTGCGCTGTATAACATACGAAAGATCAGACCATACCTAACACAACATGCCACCCAGCTCCTGGTGCAATCTACTGTCATCTCCCGCCTCGATTACTGCAATGCCCTTCTAACTGGTCTTCCAGCCTGTACTGTGAGACCTCTTCAAATGGTCCAGAACGCAGCGGCGCATCTGGTCTTCAATAAACAAAAAAAGAGCACACGTCACCCCTCTGTTCATTGAGCTCCACTGGCTACCGCTAGCAGCACGCATCAAATTCAAATTGCTAACACTAGCATACAAAGTCCGAGATGGTACGGCTCCCATCTACCTGAATCCTCTTGCAAATGCTTACGTCTCGGCCCGGCCGCTCCGGTCATCACAGGATCATCGGCTAGCAGTGCCTACACCACGCTCAGGACAATCCAGACTCTTCTCATGCATCGTTCCACAAATGTGGAATGACCTACCAAGCACTACCAGAACAGGGGCTTCCTTTTCAATTTTCAAGAAACTCCTGAAGACCCTGCTCTTCAGAGAGCATCTTCCTCCCTCTCTACCGTCCACTCCTTGTTCCCTACTCTTCATGACTGATGTCAATGTTGTTGTTGTTATTGTTGTTGTTGGCCTCAAGGGCAATATGCCGAGTATCACTTGTAAGTCGCTTTGGACAAAAGCGTCTGCTAAATACATAAACATAAACATATTTAATTTCTGACTATATAAAACGATTTCTTTAGTTTTAAAGTGTGAAGTATACTCCGACGGAGTAAAATCTGTGAGAGCCAGAGATTTTCCTTGTTTGAAGTGACCAAATGCTTATTTTCCACCCTGATTTACAAATAAATTCGTTAAAAATCCTGCCATGTGAATTCATGGATTTTTTTTTTCACATTCTGTCTCTCACAGTTGAAGTGTACCTATGATGTAAATTACTGACCTCTGTCATCATTTTAAGTGGGAGAACTTGCACAATCGGTGGCTGACTAAATACTTTTTTGCCCCACTGCATATTCTGAGTTTTATTACACTTGTTGATTTTTGCTTCTAAATCTTTAAATACATTCAGCTCATTTTGACAATTTAGCTTAGTTTCAGCTTCACTTCAGCTATTCAGCAGCTTCAGTATAATCAGTTTTTGAATAGCTGCTCATTTCACAGTTCAGCTAAATGTAAAGATTAAACTGTTAAACTTGTCCTACTGAAATAACAGGTGTTTAGACATTTTAGCTGTCCAGTTTTATACAATGTTTACAGATTTCAGTTTTCTACTGTTTAGGATTAGTTTTCTCCACTTTTGTGCTTTATTTGCTTCTTAGTGATTTTTGCTTCTTCATCTTTCAACACATTCAGCTCATTTTGACAGTTTTGTTTACTTTCAGCTTCAGTTCAGCTGTTCAGCAGCTTCAGCTTTTAGTTTCAGCTATCCAGCATTCAAACAGCATTTCTGCAAGAAATGCAATTCATCTAGTTTAAATTCATTTTATTCCTCATTAATGTACACACAGCATCCCATAATGACAAAAACACATACTTTTAGAAATGTATGCAGAGTTATTAAAGGAGAAAATCAGAAATGTCACATGGTCCTAAGTATTCATACCCTTTGCTCAGTATTTAGAAGCACCTTTTGAGCCAATACAGCCGTGAGTCTTCTTGATAAAGATGCATCAAGTTTCTCGCACCTGGGTTTGGGGACATTCTGCCATTCCTCCTTGCAGATCCTCTCCAGTTCTGTCAGGTTGGATGGTGAATGTTGGTGGAGAGCCATTTTTAGGTCTCTCCAGAGATGCTCAATTGGGTTTAAGTCAGGGCTCTGGCTGGGCCATTCAAGAACAGCCACAGTGTTGCTGTGAAGCCACTCCTTATTTATTTTAGCTGTGTGCTTAGGGTCATTGTCATGTTGGAAGGTAGGCCTTCGGCCCAGTCTGAGGTCCTGGCCACTCTGGAGAAGGTTCTTGTCCAGGATATCCCTGTACTTGGCCGCATTCATCACTGCATGATGCTGCCACCACCATGCTTCACTGTGGGAACTGTATTGAACAAATGAGCAGTACCTGGTTTTCTCCATAGATGCCACTCACCTCGTTTTCCCACTGAAAGCATCAGCGGCGCAGGACGGCAGCAGGATATTACTGCTTCAAATACAATCAATTATAGTCAATAGAGTGTTTCAAACCAGCTGCAATGCTGCAATTTTCAGGCGCGTCCCATAAGCGGCGCGTCACTAAAGAGAGGATCTAGTTCTCTTTTTGTCACGTGTCGATTCCGAGACGGCTGTTTTCACAGTTAACATGGGGCTGGGGTAGACAGGAAATCACACTGTTTCATTGTAAAATCCCCGGTAATTTCTAAGTAAAAGTACTGCAACTATGTAATTTCATTTATATGAAGCCTACGTGTGACCTCAACTTCTTATTACTCACAGCATCTTTCCAGAAGTTTAGCTGTGTGATTTTCATGACTTTAATTCTGGCAAAAAGTTCCATCTTGGCCAGTTAACTGATGCTCTTTTCATGTCTGGATAACTGCTCCCCACAGTGCTCACAGGAACATTCAGCATTCTGGAAACGCACATATAACCATTCCCATCAGGATGCTTTTCAACGGTTAATGGCCTGTATTTTGATACTGAGCATGAACAGCTTTCTTTAACTCACTCCACAGATTTTCAATAATATTCAGATCTGGGGACCGAGATGAACATTCCAGAACGTTGTACTTGCCTACATGAATGCTTTAATGCAGGGGTGTCAAACTCAAATTCACACTGGGCCGAAATGAAAAACCGGGACAAAGTCACAGATGAAACTTAATATTTTTTTAAAAAGTGACAGCAAATTTGCACGTTTTCCTTTATCTACAGATGAGATTCCTAGTCCCTGCACTGGCCACACAGCCCCACAGCATGATAGGCCCACCACCATGTTTTACTGTAGGTAGCAGGTGTTTTTATTGGAATGCTGTGTTCTTGGTCCTCCATGCATAGTGCCCCTTGTTATGCCCAAATAATTCAATTTTAGCTCAAACCTGCAGTCTGAGAGTGAAGTGCTCGGTTAGGAACGTATGGAACAATCAGGTCACTGATGTATGATGGAGATTGATTATTAAGAGCTTTATATGTGAGAAGGAGGATCTTTAAATCTATTCTGAATTTAACAGGTAGCCAATGTAGGGAAGCTAAGACAGGAGAGATATGATCTCTCTTTTTAATTCTCATCAGAACTCTAGCTGCAGCATTTTGGACAAGCTGAAGACTTTTAACTACATTCTGTGGACTTC